ATACTGGAGTTTTATTACTTCTTTGTGATACATTTTTGTCAGATTTATCAATTGCCCTCTGTTGTTGCTGCAGGTGAAATCTTTCATGAGGCTCTGGGTTCCCCAGAGAGATCATTAAATCTAAATCTGTCCAAGAAAGGGTATTTTCAATGCAATTATGTTGAAGTAGGGGGAGCCAGAGCATGTGGTGACATGGGACCCTGTTACCAACATCTCAGTCTTTGTCACTAATGCCAATCCAATAATGAGAACACAACTTTGAGAAAAGGAAAAAGAAATATGATTGCTTTCCTCGAAAAGAAGAAAGGGGACTCATGTCTCAGAGGCTGTGATTCTGACAGCCAAGGAGATCAGAGAAGTTTTCAAGAGATTATTGATGTCTAAATTCCAGGTGTTCCCAGTCAGGGGTCATGATTTACTTGTAGTATTGAGAGAGCTGTTTCTTAGGGTTTCTGGTGCCTTCTCTGACATCTTAATTACTTCATTACTATGCCATGTGTGCTTAACTCAGCCTATGATGAGACAAAGAATAATCTTGCTTCTCTCAAGATTAGAGATAGGGGAGGGAGAAGAGAAAGGGAAATAAACGATGTTAGTTTGAATATAAACTGTAGCAGCAGAGCACAGTGATTATCTTCAAAGTCTAAAATGGACACCTGCTACTTTCCCCACTGTCAATTTCTGCCTCCCATGTCTGTGAAAATATAGGGGACTGCATCTCCAAATTTCTTCCTGCTAAATCTTAGTGAACTATATGTTCTTAAAATGGAAAGTTTCAGGCTGCCAGGCTACTCTGCAACAGAATTTACCCTGGTGATGTTGTGTGATTTGGGAAACTCATAGAAATCTGGGTAAGAAATGTTCAAATTACCAAGACACTTATTAATTATCAAAATAGAAACTCCAGCTGGGTGTGGTGGTACATGACTGTAATCCTAGCAGCTTGGGAGGCTCAGGCAGAAGGATCACAAGTTCAAAGCCAGCTCAGCAACTTAGCAAGGCTCTTAGTAACTCAGTGAGACCCCGTCACTAAATCAAATAAAAAAAAAAAAAAAAAAAAATGACTGGGCTGCGCGGCTGCCGCCGCTGCAGCCGCGGCCGCCACAGCCGCCAGGAGCTCGATGGGCTTCTGCCTGCCGTCCGGTATCTGGCTGAGTCGGGCGAGCCGTGGCGCCTCGTGCCGGGGAGCCATTGCCGCAGCCCGAAGCCAGGTCCCGAGTGAGGGACTGCAGGAAGAGGCGACGGCGTCGGCCGCGGGAGCCCCCCCCCCCCGGGGTCTGGGACTGGCGAACCGCCTCCGGCTTCACGATGCCAGTATGGACAGAATAGCTTATGATGCTTATCCACACCCACCACTTTCGAGACATTGAGCGCAAGCCGGAATACCTCCAGCCGGAGAAGTGTGTCCCACCTCCCTACCCTGGTCCTGTGGGAACCATGTGGTTTATCCGCGACAGCTGTGGCATCGCCTGTGCCATCGTCACCTGGTTTCTGGTCCTCTATGCAGAGTTTGTGGTCCTCTTTGTCATGCTGATTCCATCCAGAGACTATGTATACAGCATCATCAACGGAATTGTATTCAACCTGTTGGCCTTCTTGGCCCTGGCCTCCCACTGCCGGGCCATGCTGACGGACCCCGGGGCAGTGCCCAAAGGAAATGCCACTAAAGAATTTATCGAGAGTTTACAGTTGAAGCCTGGGCAGGTGGTATACAAGTGTCCCAAATGCTGCAGCATCAAGCCCTACAGAGCCCACCACTACAGTGTTTGTAAGCGGTGCATTCGCAAGATGGACCACCACTACCCTTGGGTCAATAATTGTGTCGGCGAGAACAACCAGAAGTACTTCGTCCTGTTTACAATGTACATAGCTCTCATTTCCTTGCACGCCCTCATCATGGTGGGATTCCACTTCCTGCATTGCTTTGAAGAAGATTGGACAAAGTGCAGCTCCTTCTCACCGCCCACCATGGTGATCCTCCTCATCCTGCTGTGCTTTGAGGCGCTGCTCTTCCTCATTTTCACGTCAGTGATGTTTGGGACCCAAGTGCACTCCATCTGCACGGATGAGACGGGAATAGAACAATTGAAAAAGGAAGAGAGAAGATGGGCTTAAAAAACAAAATGGATGAACATGAAAGCAGTTTTTGGCCACCCCTTCTCTCTAGGCTGGGCCAGCCCCTTTGCCACGCCAGATCAAGGGAAGGCAGACCCGTACCAGTATGTGGTCTGAAGGACCCCTGACCAGCATTGCCACTCAGACACAAACCACATCACAGCACTATCGTCCGATCTGTTCTCATGAATGTTTAGACCGAAAAGCAAATCAACTACTCTAAAACTTTTTTTATGTCTCAAGTAAAATGGCTGACCATTGCAGAGAGAAAAAAAGTCCCCATGTTTTATTTTTTAAAAATCATCCTTTTTGATTTTTTGATGACCGAAGCTGCTCTTCTTTTTCCTTTTAAAAATCACTTCTCTGGCCTCTGGTTTCCTCTCTGCTATCTGTCTGGCATGACTAACGTGGAGGGTGCTGTCTCCAGGCTGTGTCCACTTCCACTAATTGAGTGAGACGTGACGCTGTGCGTGGATGGACTGGCCTGGTAGGAAAGCCAGGAGGGCCCTGGCCTCCCACTGCCCAGGAGGCAGTGGCAGGAGCCCATGGGACTTAAAACTCACTGAAGATGGATATTTGCCCCTTGAGGCCTGAGAAGGGCAGGATCAGGGCTGGTGCCTTCAGAAGGGCCCGTGGCTCAGCAGCCTCCTCCCCCAAGTGGACACAGTTTGCCTCCTCATTCACAAAATCAGTTATTCTGCCTTGTACTTTATGGGCCTGGGGTGTGTAGAATAATTTTGGTGGGGAAGGGGGGAGAGTTGAAGGGGTCTAATTTGTATTCTAAATCAGCAGTTTTATCCCTCTGATGATTTCAGAAGAAAATGAAGGAAAGGAGTTTTTCCATTTCAAAATGCCCTGTACAATCAAAGGGGTGGGGGGCCATGCAGTTTCAGGCAAGCTACATATTATTCCTTTGTTACAACTACTTCCTCCCTGACCGCCCCATCTCCCTCCCTTCCCCGGCGAGATGTCAATTAAGCAGTGTTGATTCTGGGTGGAACACATGTGCCCCACCGTCAAGCCCTTCTCATTTTGTAAATCTCTAACATGGGTCCACTTTCTGCTATTTAAGAGCCATGGAATGTGTGCGTACCCATGTCTTATTTTAACCTAGGAGACTGTTGTCCTGGCATGGGGCTAACCATGATCTGGGACAACATTTTTAAAGTTGACAGAAGAATGTCCGCTCACTGGACTGAGCCAGGGGCACCTGGCCCTGCTGCACTGAGGAAGGCCAGCCTTTCCATGGGAGGCACTTCCCCCACTGGGTCTCCTTTGAAAGAGGTGGTGACAAGCTAGAGGAAGGACCAAGAGTGGTGGGGAGAGGTGAGGAGATAGGGAGTGCCCTCAGACACAAAAATAACCAATCTGAATCCTGACCATCTGTGAATTCCTACACACTGATTTGTTTTTTAAGCGATTGTCACAAATCTCCCTTTTTAGCTTTTGCTTGGGGTGGGGGCGGGGGATAAGATTTATTCAGTCTAGTCCTGGGTAGGGAGAAAGTTAATCTAGCCATGTGATTTTTCAGAAAAGTCAGTGGAACATGCTGCCTCTTTTAATTCTGTCAGTGCTTCCACATGGAAACAATGCAATAAAACTTTTCCAAAACCTGCAAAAAAAAAAAAAAAAAATGACTGGGGATGTGGCTTAGTGGTTAAGTGCCTCTAGGTTCAACCCCTAATATGAAACAAAAAAATAAATAGAAATTTCATTGTGGAGGGGCTGGGGCTGTAGCTCAGTGACACAGTGCTTGCCTAGCATATGTGAGGGACTGGATTTGATCTTCAGCAACACATAAAAATAAACAAATAAAATAAAAGCCTGCTGTCCATCTGTCCATATACAACTACA